GTCCCCTTTCGGACGAAGACGACGAGAAAGCTTCCTTCACCGATTTCGTCTGGCGAATAATTTCTGAAAATAAAGCGAGACGGCCTTCGACGACGTCGAAGTGGTTGATCTTGAAAAGAATCGGAAAGAAGCGAGAGAAAGATAGATAGGGAAGGAAGCGGTTCATTCAACAAGTACGACCACGAATAGAGGAGGAACCGCGATAATGCAGTTGCTTTACCATAGAATCCCGGCGCTTTTTGTTATTCATGGAGCCACTAGACGATATCAGAATTTACGCCCAACTTTTCGCCGCGTGTTTCAACCGTGGAATTTAATCGAGCAGACGGCGAGAATCGATGGAACATCGATAGGTACCGCGATAAATTCATTCTCCTCGTGTAAGACGAGGCGCGATCGAAGAGGATGGAAGATTCCTCGAACGAAACCGTTTTAACGCTGCAAATTTTCACGGAAATTCTGCGAAAGAGAAACGCGTCGAGGATGGAGGATTTTGTGCGCGCAACTTCGAACAGATACGTGAAAAGGAAAGTCGATAACGCGGTTATCTTACGACGAGATCCTTGTTCTACTGTTATTCATAGATCTGCCACGGTGAAATAGGAATTGACAGTCTGACGCGAGTACTTACGCATAGTAAATGCGCATACTGGCTAACTCGCGGATAAAACTGAATATGAAAGACTCGTGTTACGTCCAGGAATATTACGTTATTTCTGCATAGGATTAATTAATCGCGGGTATACAGGTAGCGACGTATTAAACGAAGAAATTACCTTTCGTTGTGATACCATTGTTTTCTCCGTTGCTTCTTTTTTCTTTTTTTAATATTCACCAATGACTGAATTTACAGATATAAATGTTTTCGAGTATAAACCGAGTGAATCGTTTGAAAATCCCTCGGAAAATATGCGATTATATTTATCATGGCTCCGGGGGATGAATCGAGTTTACCTTACGAGCGTGCTTCCTTCGACATTTTCCGGAATTCAAATGTTTTTAATCGCGTGTGTGTGGAGGATTTGAAGAACAGAATTTTAATTAGACGAAAAGCGCAAGATTGCCTTGCACCAGTTTCTACATTCGAGAATTTGAGTAGGTTTTCAGGTAAATTGGAAATTAACAATTTCTTCAAATTAGTTTTCAAAATCCAACACGTTTCGAGCTCTAATAATAAAAATGTTCAAAAATAACTCCTAGAAGAGTCGAAGTAGTCTCCGAAATTTTTCACACGACTGTATCGACACTTTTCACCGTACAAAGTGATTCTTCAGACGTGAAAAAGCGTCGGGTAGAGTTGAATCTCTATTTTCCAAGGCGCAGCCGTGCTCTCTTTCCACGGGAGAGCGCTGATAGAGAAACGAAGGGGAAATGGCACGTCGGTATTTCGTAAACGTATCCTGTAAACAATTCAGTTGCCTGGCATTTTGTCTCGCCCCGCTTCATCTCGTACGATTTACACGATGATTCCATTCATTGTTCGAAATATTGCCGCACGCGATTTCTCGTATCTCGCCGGTGAAATTCAATCTTCGGATTTTCCCGTGGGAAAAGCGCGACGTTCCAGCACGGAAATACGATAGTTCACACGCGTGAAAAAAGAAAAAATCCATAAAACAGCGTCGTCGCGCAACGAATATCGCTGTAACGCGTCCCATTACTTAAACGTAATCAGATCATTTTACACAGTTTCATATTTTAACGAGCAGCGAAATTTCCCTCGTTTCCTTTCCCGTACAAATTAGAAAAATATCTCTTCGGATTTTATTACTTTTAAAAATAGAAACGTTTTCAAACCTGCGTTACAAAACATCTGTGCTCGACACAGATACAAACATAATTGTTCACAGTCACTGTAGACTTTTTACGTTCGATCGGAAACTTTTGCAGAAATAACAGCGAAAAGAAGCCGAGCTAACTGTAAATATAAAAATACCATAGAACACGGTGTTAGGTTTTCTGTAGAGACGGTTTATGGCACGATCTTATTGGTACGGTTATCTTATGGCACGGTTTATTGCTTGCACGGGTCTAATTACATCCTGCGAGGGTCACTAGAATTGCTTTGCTAGATTTTTAGTAATTTCTGTCCCTCGCGCTCAATAGCCTACGAACATACCATAAACCACGAATTTCCGTAACGGTCCGCTTGCCGATTAGTCATCCGGAGGAAATTCCAGATTTTTGGGACCTTCCGCCCACCCCTCGCGACCGTCTCCCACCCTTCCAAGGTGACAGCGCGCTAAGGGCGCACTGAAAGAGCGGTAAAAACGATATTAAACACGCTGATTGACAAATGCAATCGTTAATCATTAACCAATCAGCGTGTCCCAACGAAAATCCCTCTCGCGGACGTCCGAGACGCGACGTCGGGGAGTTGAGTCGTCGAGTAGTCGTTCAACCACCACGAACAAGGAGAACCAAGGAGCAACCAGCTGACATCACGCGATACCATAGATCAGTTTTTACAAGTCCCAATCATTTGGGTGGTCCTTCACATCGTGCAAACATCCACAAAGCTCGAAAGTTCATCGCCACAACCACGGGCATTAACACACGGTAAATAGACAAGATAGTAACGAGATCAGTTCGATTCGATGACTGGAAATCAAGGAAATCGGACAATTTCTTCTATCGCGAGGGGAAAAAATTAGATCCGTAACCGAGCAGGCTCGATTTCGATTTGTCTCCATTAACGTGCTTTTCGCTGGAAATCAGGCCAGACGGGAGGCGACTGCCGCTTCGTCATCGTTGTTTGGAGGCGAGTGCAAAGAAAGAGTTTTCCTCTGAAAACTCGTTCGTTGAGAGCGTCGAGCTTTTCTTCGAGGGAAAGAAGAGAGAGAGAGAAAAAGGAAGGAAAGAGGGACAAGAAAAATGTG